GCAGTAGTAGTAGTAGTAGTAGTAGTAGTAGTAGTAGTAGTAGTAGTAGTAGTAGTAGTAGTAGTAGTGCGGAGGTATCATCATCATCATCATCATCATCATCATCATCATCATCATCATCATCATCATCATCATAATCGTGCGTAAATGAGCAAAAAAAATAAGAATTGTAAATAAAAAATAAATGTTGGCGTTTTACGTCCCCATCAGCCCAATTTAGATCATCTAGGAGGCGGGCTTGGGTCCTGCAAGGGATACAACGGTTCAGCAAAACGCCAAGATACTTGTACTCGATAAAAATTCTCCCCACACTGGATTCGAACTCAGGTCTTCTGCCTGAGAAGATGCATTGAATTGTACGAGCGTACATAACTGCTACACCATTGACACCGGGCCAGTTGACTTGAGCTGATCCTTTAAAAAACTCAAAGAAAAAGACAATAAAATAGATATAAAAATGTCTCATCATTCAAGTCATTCTATTTTCATCTTTCCTTCTACTTTTTTAAATCTCGTTAGGTGGCGTCCGAAGCTTAGTGGTTTAGTTACCGGACTCGTAATCGAGATGTTGCGGGTTCGTGGGTTCGAACCTCAGCTCAGTACGACTTTGTGTCCTTGGGAAAGGTACTTTGCACGAATTTACCATTTGGCTCGGTCCTTTCGGAGATAGACGTTAAACTCGGAGGTCTCGCCTTTTAAATAACCTAATGGTTTTGATAGGGGCGTTAAACATTATTCAATTTCACCATTTCATAACGTCGTTCACTTGTTCCATCTGTGCCCAGGTCCCTGGTTCGCGGTGATAGCTGTCATTGAAAGTCTCAGCTTTACTCTCGGGACTCCTGCCTTAGCTGTATACAGGTACATCTATCTATCTATCTATCTATCTATCTATCTATCTATCTATCTATCTATCTATCTATCTGTCCGTTCTATGCTTGTCTGTCTGTCTGTCTGTCTGTCTGTCTGTCTGTCTGTCTGTCTGTCTGTCTGTCTGTCTGTCTGTCTGTTTTGTTTGTTGTTTTATTAGTTTGTTTGTTTGTTTGTTTGTCTTTGATTGTTTAAAAAGAAAACAAAAGGGAATAACAAAAACAGAAAACCCCCAAAACAAACAACAAAAACAAAACAACACAAAACGAAACAGAACAAATCAATAACCAAAGCCAAAAAACCCCCCAAACCAAACACCAAACGTAAACAGAGATCATCTTCCCCTTCCTTTTCCACATATAGCCTACGTACGCTGATACATATATACAAATATATACGTACGCTGATACATATATACAAATATATACGTATGCTGATACATATACAAATATATACGTACGCTGATACAAATACAAATATATACGTACGCTGATACATATACAAATATATACGTACGCTGATACATATACAAATATATACGTACGCTGATACTTATACAAATATATACGTATGCTGATACATATACAAATATATACATACACTGATACATATACAAATATGTACATACGCTGATACATATACACATATATACGTACGCTGATACATATACACATATATATGTACGCTAATACATATACAAATATATACGGAAAAAGACGCACAAGTACAAAAACATACATTATAATTTTGTGGGCGTGCCGGAAGCTCAGTTTATATATTGTTATATTGTACCATAATGCAAATGGCCCTGGTTGTGAATGAACTTGAGTTATTTAGACTTTTTATTTTTCAGAACTCTTTAAGGAGACTAATTATGTCTGATCAGTAACATACCAAAACCAATGTTGTGGGAGGTATCGAGCTATCATACACAAATCAGAAACGTAAATTTGAATTTTTATTTCATAGCATGAATGATTTTGCCTGATATTTTTTTTAAAATTTTAAACAAAACAAAAACAAACAAAAAATAACAGCAGAAAACTTCAATGATAAAATCGAAGCGCTTAAGTTTGGTCTCGTGGATCACCATCACAATCGCCACTAGCATCTTCACAATCATCACCACCAATAACACTACAACCGCCACCACAACAACAATAGACAACAACGACAACGACAATGACATGAACAACAAAATCAACAATAACAACAATAATAGCAACAACAACGACAACAACAACACGCAACAGCTACAGCTACAGCTACAGCAATAGCAGCAACAAATAAGAACAACAACAGCAACACCAACAATAACAACAACCCCGCGCTATTCTTCAACTTCAAAAACATTGCCAAATAACAACTACAACAATACAGGTGTTTGCGAATTCTTCCCCAGAGCATCTCTAGGCTTCTTCCGCGGCTTGGTGTTCCTTATAGCGGCCGGCCTACTGCTCTGTGAAATCTTCTTACTGCTGTGAGTATATCGGGCAATCCCGCTTCTCAGATTCATTTCCTTGGAGGCCATCTATTTTCCAGAGGAACATATTATGAATACAATGATGGCCGCAATTCAAACGTATACTTATTATATACATTATACATATGACTATATTATACAGATATATATATATATATATATATATATATATATATATATATATATATATATATATACAGAGAGAGAGTGAGATAGATAGATAGATAGATAGATAGATAGATAGATAGATAGATAGATAGATAGATAGATAGATAGATAGATAGATAGATAGATAGATAGATAGATAGATAGATAGATAGAAAATATGTGCTAAGTGTCCCTTTAGGAATACATTACATAATAATGTTTAGTATATTATCGCTGGTGGAGTGATGAAACCTCGTAACCCCAGAAAGAAAAATTTTACAGGAGAGACAAAAAACTGATTTACTCTTGAATAAAATGACCTATATGAACCCAAGTTGGTACAGATAAATGAAAACACCTTAGAAACGTGGTTAGTACATAAAAATAACTTTTCTATTGTTTATGTGGTTACGCTGTGGGATGCGAGGTTTCATTACAACATTTTTGTCGTGATGAAACCTCGTAGTCAGCCGGCGGGTGGGTTACGAGGTTTCATCAGGACATAGTTTGGGGGTTGCGAGTTTTCTCTCTGCTCATTTTGGTTGCAGTATGCGTCTGTTGCTTGAAACGCCACAAAGTGATAGAGATGTTTTTTCAAGACCAATTAGTTTGGAGTTTGATTCCCGGCCAACTGAAGTCAAATAAATGTGTGTTACATGCAGAATTTATGTTTGAATCCTCAAACGGATTGCAATTAATGCAATTCGTTTCACTATAATTTGCCAAGATTAAATCTGGTTACTTCCAGTTTTACTAAAGAGCACAAATGATTAATAAATCCCTGCAATGTGGTGTCTGTTTGCACTACAGATGGTTTTCATAAGAGTTGTTGAATCATAATGGACAACCATTAATGTTAATGGTATTAATTGTCATAAAGTGACGATGCATATTGGCAATAACAGATTTAAGCACATGTAGGTGATTGTACTTGAAGTGCTGGAACTTAAAACGTTTTGTGTAGAGTTGTGAGGTAGGGTGGACCTTATGTTTCTGTGTCCTGCCTTCGGAACATCAACCCTTTCATCACTGAGGTGCAGCTTGAACTGGATGTTCATGTTTGGGGTGTACTTCAAACACCTGATGTCGGTGACAACAGGATCACCCGTTTTTCTACCTTATAGACTTGTCGTAGCTTCCACACTTAGAATATTTCTTGAAGAATGTGTGATCCAACTATTTGTTTTGATAAGTTTCTTGTTTTGCTCTTGCCATCCTGAAGAAATGGAGGTAGTCTTGGAGGACCTCGATGCGTGTTTTTCGAAGCGATCTCTTAATAGTTGAGTTCTCACTGTCAATTTCCATTTGTGTGTGCCTTTTGATAAAATGTTTTCGTTCAATTGTGTTTCCATGATTGTTGAAAACAGGCTGAGAGAAACATTGGCTAGTGTGGCATTTCTGAATTAGTAACCACGGTTGTCGCTGTCGATGATGGTTTTCTGGAGGTCCAGCTTTTCCTACAGGAAATCCAATAGACATGAAGCAAACTCATTTGCCATAAATCACCCTTCTGCTTCATGACACACGTAACAAGTAGTCTGGCGTGTTGCAGCATCCAATTGCGTAAAGTTATGAACGGCGAGTTTTGTTTTGTAATATAAGGCTGATGCTGAAGATCCTTTGAAAGTACGGCCGTTTTAGGTTCATTACTGGCGAGAGATTTGATGGCTTCAGATTTATCTCGTTCCTTTTCTTTGCGCGCCGCCTCCTTTTCTAGAATGTGAGCATTTCAAAGATCTCCCAGCACATTGTCAACTTCACGACTGATGCAAAGGTGATACATATCTATCTTTGACAGGAACAGCGACACGTTAATCTGCTTGAATCCGTCATCGAGGGCGGGTCTTTTGAGAGGCCGCCTCCAGTGGTCTTGGCAGACTTGTGAATATATTTTGTAGATATCTGAGTTACTTTGATAATTATTGGTTCTAAATGTTTCTTACAAATCATTCATCCAACCCAGTTCAATTCAGGAACACCTTTTAACACGCTGGCACCTTATGGCCACCTTTTAAAAGTGTTTATTGAAGGTATTCCCTCTCTGGTTAGTCTCGAAATACCTCCTCCGAGGTCCACTAGTCTTCCCATGAGAGGGACCACACTAAAACAAAATTAGAATGTCTATCAACTTCAGAGAGCCCTTTATATTTCAGAGTCCAGCTCTTGCAATCACAGATTGGTTTCAATAACTTAGCTGGGATTTTCATTGAACCATTATGTATTCCGATCCTATCCCGATCCACGGATAGCTTTTCGCTTATTTGTTGCCACTCCTTTAAACCCTTTCTTTTCCTCTGTGGTACATCGTGTATGCTGGCATAACAAATGAGCTGTGTCTCGGGATCAGGCTCCAGGAAAAATGGCTAGGGTGCCTGAATATGGTCTACAGATTGTGTTGCTGTGACCTCGAAGGAAATAATTCAGCGTCTGACTTACAGCTGCCTGGTGAAACGTCAGTGTGGTTTGGGGTATGATTCCAGGTGACACTATTGTTGGTGCAGACTCTGTCTGGGATGATGCTGATACTTCCTTGTCTCCACATATCAGGGACAGCCCTGGAAAGGACTGCGACATGGTGGCTGGTGCCAAGTCAATGAACGTGGTCTGCTCTGTGGTTTCCAAACCAGCCTTTGTAGGGTATAAAGATCTAGGTGATGAGCACAGTTAGAAGGAGATATTCAATACAGAATCGGAAATGTCCGTATTACTTGTGTTGTTGAGGCACAAATTTGTCACAATTTCCTCTAAAGACTTCAGAGTCACCAAGACCATGCTTACGTTGAGTACTATTCGGTCTCAACTGCAACTGGAGGATTCGACTACACAACGGATTCATAGTCTGAGAAGATGCAAAACCTTACCCTCTCTTTGATAAACAGAATGGCCTGTTGACATCTGGAGAGTGCACAAATCTGTCACCTAGTCTAAGTAAGGACTACCGTCACCTGTCATTTCAAGGTGTGACTGTTGCCTTAACTTAAATGTTAACTACGTTTGTGCTCGATGAGAACATCTTGATTATCAGCAAGTTAGTCATCCTTATGAATAGATTTTTAATAGATTTACACAATGTAAGTACTTCACGTATGACCATATTTGAACTTCTGAACTGACCGAAATAAAGTGAATGAATAAAAGAATGAATGAATGTATGGATGAATGAAGGAATGAAATATTTCTTTATTCCGTCAGATACATTAAATGCACCAGACAATGTCAGTTATGAACGCTTCAATTAAGCCGGTTCATATAGAAGGCTTGTCCAGAACCTCGTATAAGCACGCCGCTCTCTCAAACCGGGAGTGATGAAACCACGCAAAAGCAGATCAGCGCACCAGGTGAGGGTTGCGAGGTTTCATTACGCCAGGATATCATGGGGGCAAACATACGAGGTTTTCTTATTAAGTATTTTTCATACTTTCTCTTACTAATATGACCTAGTGCTTTTGACACATTGTGAAGAAGGACTGGGAGAAGACATTAAGCCAAAAAAACGAATTTCGAAAAAATTGAGGGTTACGAGGTTTCATCACTCCACCAGCGTTATTATATCCACCACTCCCGAGGCTTTCTCAGTCTGAGAATGCCTAGACCACTCCCCTTTCCGTGCACGCAATTCCGAAGTTCTGTGCTTCGCAACGCTTAGACTTTCGACTTTAAATGAACTTTGGTGACCCGTTGACCTCAACAACCACCACAGCACCTTACTCACACAATGCCATGTTTCATGTACTGCGCACACCCCGCAGGGTCACTGACCGGTCACGATGGCGTGGCCCGATAAGCTAGATCTAGGCATTGGACGGCGCTCGTTATTTTCTTTTGTTTCTTTTATTAGTGACGGCACATAGACGAATACTGATTTAAATTTATAATTAAGTTGTGTATTTGCATGATGACACCGCGTTTATAATGTATAACCCGTCTGTCATTACTGTTAGGTTATCAGACTATCATCGGAAAATCCTCGGCGCTAACTAGGCCTATATAGATCTTGGGTTTTCCCCTCTTTGGGTTTTCCTTATCGAACCACCGTATTACTGTAAACTCTCTGATTACACTATACCCTACACTTCTGCCTGCTGCCGTAACCATCAGTTCGCGTGAAGCGTTCCGGCGGAACGGGGAAACTCGAACGATTATCCCAAACGTGACCGGCAGAAACTTCATGTATTTTCCCGGGTTTTCCCCGGGACAATGTCACAGATTTCCTCAAATATCCCCGGGCATACCCGGCTCTCGTCGATTTTATTAAATTTCCTGGGAAATTCCACGGTCTGGCAGTCTCTCCCGCTACCTCACGTGACAACCACACCATACAGACCACCGACGTTTGTCTTTGAACCGCCCAACGCAGTATATTTAATTCTTTATCATTAATTTTTCTAAATCTTCTTATTGTGCTGGTAAGTGTTTTCTTTTGCCAGAAGGCCTCCTCACGATAAAACAAAACGTGTCGGGATAATAGTGTTGCAAATATATTAAAATTATTCATAACCCCAACAAAATGACCCCCCCCCTCCTCCCCGCCCCCAATCCCCCATAAATTATGTTTTACGACACGTCTTAGATCATTTAGAAGACACGCTTTGAGCTTGCCTGCCAGGTCCAAGTTGGGCTGATAGTGATACAACGTCTGCAGAAAGACCGAGATATTCAATGAAAATTATTCTCTCCACCCTAGAATTGGACCTGTTTCTACTGTGTGCGGTTCTGAAGCGCCAAACAACTACACTACAAAACACCAGGCACAGAAAAGAGGAAGAAATCTTGTAAAGGCAGTAGTAATTTAAGGCGTGCTGACAAAATGAGTTACTTATGTACTTTTCGCAATCCACGAATGGAGTTGTCGGACAAAAAAAATAGTTCAAATTCATAGATTTTAAACTGGTGCCATTTTCTTCAAGTTAAACAATATGTTTTTATCAAGTTGTAGGTGGGTCTTTACCCACCGGAGTTTTTTTTACTCGACTGCTGTGTCGGACAGTCGGGTCAGGTGGTGTTTTTCATGTGAGCACTTCGCAGGTCCGTGCGAAGTCACGGTCAAGTCAGCTGCTGTGTTGTGAGTTATTGAGTGTTCGGAGAGTCACTACAACGTCGTGTAATACATTATACAGATCAAACCTATAAATCTTATTTTGTGTCTGTGCTGCCCATAGGCTGTATAACCCAAAAATTAATCATTTTGTCAGCGCACCTCACAACTTTTCTCAATTGTCTCACAGCACATTGTTAATAAGGAGTCCTAATAAGTCTCTGTCTTAACAATGATCATTCTTCCTTCCGCAGAGCCTTTCAGCTGAAGTGGCGAAAATTCATCTCTAGAAAGGGACAGACAATTGTGGTGCCCAGTGCCACAGAAGACCCCGATCCTAAAGAATGAAATCGTCATGATCAGACGTCAGTGGAGCCAAACAATAAACTAAGGCAGCAGGAAAATCTGGCACATTTCGATCAGGACCTTTCAAGTAAACAGCTGCCGTTAATCAACTTGGTCAAGAATAAATGAGACTAAGACCTGCCCTAAGGAAACGGAGGAAATGATGGATTGTGCCAATACGAATCTACATGCCAGAGATACCTTTTCCTTTTAATAATAATAATAATAATAAATAGCATTTATACTGCGCTTATCCATTTTCTAAAAGATGCTCAATGCGCATTACAACGAAAAAGACATCACATCTTAAAAATCAATCGACAAGTGCGTTCGTAAAATAACGTATTATACATATATAATACAAATGCATATGTGTAAAATGTTATATGAGAAAAATAGTCTCGCAGTGAGGTCGAAAATGTGGTCACTAAAAAAATACAATGCAATAAAAATTCACGAACGGTCACAATAAAGTTGACACGTGAATAACTAGAAACATTCATTATTAATAATAATAATAGATAGCATTTGTATAGCGCATATCCCCGCTCAACAGCAGGCTCTATGCGCTTTACAACTATATTAAAACATTAGATCTAATTCTATAAAGATAGAAAAACATTTCCGTTCTCTCCCTCTCTCTCTCTCTCTCTCTCTCT